CTGCTGCTGCTGCTGCTGCTGCTGCTGCTGGTTTTGTCGGCGTCGCTGCTGCTGCTGCTGCTGCTGCTGCGTTCTTCCTCTCGGGAGGGGTCTTCGGGGGGCGGCTCGGCAGCAGAGGCTTCGCTGCTGCTGTCTGCGTCTGCTTCTGCTGCTTCGGGGTCGGGGTCTGCGTCGGCGTCGTCGGCAGCAGCAGCAGCAGCAGCTTCTGCTGCTGCTGCTGCTGCTTGCTCCGAAGCGTCCAGGGGCCGCAGCGGGCGCGTGTCGCCCCAGGTAAGCAGCGAAGAAATCAGCACAACTGTGAGCTGCTGCTGCAGCTGCGCAGCTTTCAACTTTTTCAAAATAAGTTCTATTTCTTCGGGATCGGAGTTGTGCAAATCAAACACTGCCACGCTGCAGGTCAACAAGTTCTGCAGCAGCTGCTGCGGGTTCCGCTTCGAGACGAGGCGGCGAATGCATGCGGGCACTGCTGCTGCTTCGGGTGTACGTACACCCCACGGCCCCTCCTCCACGCCCTTCGCCGTCCCGAAAAGCCGATTCAAAACTCCTTCGCTGCGCCGCAGCGCTCTCGCGAGTGCTGCTCCCGAAAAGGTGTTCACATTATTAATAAAAATCCTCATTTTGGCTTTTAAAAGCCTTTTAAACGGTCAGAAACGGCCCCGGAGTGCTGCTGCTGCAGCAGCACAGGCAGCAGCAGCAGCAGCAGCAGCAGACCCGATCCCAACGCTGCTTCCTCTTTTTCGTCTCTTGCTTCTCTAATTTGCCAATTATTTTAATCTATTTTGATCTCTTTTGGCATTTCCTTCTACAAAAATACTAAACTGACGCCGCAGCAACGAACACCCGCCACGGCTGCTGCATGCGGCTGCTGCCTCACCAGTGCTGGCTCCCCAGAAAGCAAATACACGCCTAATGAACTCTAAACCCTAAAGCCTAAATCCCAAACCCTAAATCGTAAACCCTAAACCTCCGGGGAGCAGCAGCAGCAGCAGGTTTGCGCGGAGGGGGCTGTCGGCGGCGCCCAGGCGACCGCCCTGCGGCGCTTGCGGTGATTTTGTCGCTAATTGTTTTAAAACGGATGAAATAATTAAAATAAAAGCAGAAAAACAAAATAAAACAGAAATTTTTTAGATAAATATGCGCAAAGAAAGCGAGAAACCACCGCCGCTGCTGCTGCTGCTGCTGCTGCTGGCGACCAGGAGCCCGCGTGACCGCCGTGGGCAAGTGACCCTGTGTGGCTGGGGGGTGTTTGCGGAGCAGCAGCAGCAGCAAATGCGAAGCAAATAAATAAAATTAAATCCTTTAAATGCATTTCGGACTTTAATTGGTCCTTTTTGCTGCCTCAAGCAGCAGCAGCGCAGCAGCGCCGGTCTGCGGCGCTCGCGTGGGGTTCGTCAGTCAGGCAAAGCTGCTTCTGTCTATTGCTGCTGCAGTTGGTTTGCTGCTTCTTTTACGGGTTTTATAATTCCAGCAGCTCTTTATTTGAAAGGTTATTCCATTTAAAAGAGGTTGCGGGGCCCCACACTGGGCGGCACCGCAGCAGCAGCAACAGCAGCAGCAGCAGCAGGGGAGCTTTGTCTTCGCTGGGCGGGCCCGGAGGCAGCACACGGCTGGCCAGCTAGCTGCAACACAGCAGCGCAGCAGCGCAGCAGCACAGCAGCGCAGCAGCACAGGTAGCTCGCTGCCGCCAGCTAGCTGCAGGTAGTGCGGTGGCAGCTCCAGCTAGCGAGCTAGCTAGCTAGCTAGCTGCAGGTGCTGCAGGTCCTCGAGCTCGCAGCTCGCCAGCTAGCCAGCCAGCTAGCTCACCAGGCAGCTAGCCGCAGCTAGCTAGCCAGCTAGCCACCGCGCCCGCGCCCAGCTAGCCAGCTAGCCAGCTAGCTAGCTAGCTAGCTAGCTAGCTAGCTAGCTAGCCAGCTGTGCCGTGTCCCCGCAGGCCCGAGCGTTGGGAATGCGCGTGCCCGGCGTTCCCCGTGCGCAGCTGCCGCCGCTGCCGCCCGCCGCGCAGCAGCAGCAGCAGCAGCAGCAGCAGCAGCAGCAGCAGCAGAACCTGCTGCCGCCGTCGCGGCGGCTGCAGCAGCTAGCTGCGGGGGGCCGCCAAGTCCACGGCACAGACTTGAGAACCACCAAGTTCTACAGAACTCAACTTTGCCCTTTCCGCAGGGGCAGCCGCACTGGCCGCTGCGCACTGGGACTCGACTGCGGATACGCACACGACCAGGCACGCAACGCTGCTGCTGCTGCTGCTGCTGCTGCTGCTGATGATGATGATGATGGTTATGGTGGTGGTGAGTGTCGTGATGATGGTTATGATGACGATGATGGTCATGAGAATAGTTATGGTTATGAGGATAATAATGCTGCTGCTGCTGCTGCTGCTGCTGCTGCTGCAGTCCGAGCTGCGGAAGCCTCCGACTCTGGAGAGAACCAAGTGGTGTCCGCTGCTGGTGGCTGGCGGCTGCTGCAGCAGAATGATGACGATGATGGTCATGAGAATAGTTATGGTTATGAGGATAATAATGCTGCTGCTGCTGCTGCTGCTGCTGCTGCTGCTGCTGCTGCTGCTGCTGCTGCTGCTGCTGCTGCAGTCCGAGCTGCGGAAGCCTCCGACTCTGGAGAGAACCAAGTGGTGTCCGCTGCTGGTGGCTGGCGGCTGCTGCAGCAGAAGCAGCTGCGGCTACGCCCACGGGCCCGAAGAGCTGCAGCTAGCAGCAGATAGCCAAACCCTCAAAACAGCGATTTGCGCGTTTTGGGCCAAAAACCCCAGCCTCTGCCTCAACAGAGACAAGTGCAGGCCAGAAACCCCTAAACCCTAAACCCTAAACCCTGAACCCTAAACCCTAATCCCTAAACCCTAAACCGTAATCCCTTATCCCCAACACCTTAACCTCTAGCCCTTAACACTTTTACAGTCCAGGAACCCCCTAAAGCCTAAACGGTGAACGCTAAACCCTAAACTCTAAGTGCTTGGCCCTAAACCCTAAACCCTAAACCCTAAACCCTAAACTCTAAACCCTACATTCTAATTCGAATTCCTGGGCGCTTCGCGGCGGCGCTAGCTGGCGAAGGCGGGGCAACCGCAGCGCCGATGCAGAGGCAGATATTGGCTCTAGGGTTTAGGGTTTAGGGTTTAGGGTTTAGGGTTTAGGGTTTAGGGTTTGGGCGGCCTCTGCAGATTTGCACATGGCGTTGAAGAGCTTCGCCCAAGACCCGCTTTGTCGCCTCGAGGAGATGAGGAGCGTTTGCTGCTGAGGGGGCCCCCACTCGCTGCTGCTGCAGCAGAAGGTTTGCCTGCTGCACCAGCAGCAGCAGCAGCAGCAGCTGCTGCTGCTGCTGCCGCGGCAGGTAAGGCGGCAGCAGCGAGAGATGCCAGGGCTCAGGTAGCCAAGGGCAACAGAGTGCCGCTCAACTACTCAGCAGGTCCAGCAGCAGCAGCAGCAGCAGCAGCAGGGGCAACAGCAGCAGGAGCAACAGCAGCAGACACACAGTCGTCACAGATGCAGGCAGCAACTGCTGCTGCTCCCCGTAGCTCAAGGAGACGCAGAAGGGCCCGCCGTGGAGCAGCAAAGACCCCACCGCCTGCTGTTGCTGCAGCTGCTGCACAGCAGCAGCAGCAGCAACAACAACAGGCGATGGAGATGCAGCAGCAGCAGCACCAGTACAGCTTGCAGCAGAAGCTGGAGCAGCAGCTGCAGCAGCAACTAGAGCATCAGCTGGAGCAGCAGCTGCAGCAGCCACTATTCCTGGCCCTCCGGGAACAGCACAAGCTGAAAAAGCTGCTGTTCAGCCCCGAGCAGCAGCAGCAGCAGAAGCAGCAGCCGCAGCAGCAGCAGCAAGGCGTTTACGGGGGCGGCTTGGCTTCGGCACTGACAACACCCGAGAAGTCAGTGCCTGTAAACAGCGGCAGCAACTGCAGCAACGGCAACAGCAGCAGCAGCAGCTTTTTGTCTCTCCGAGTGTCTCCTTCATCTTGCGTCGGCGTGTCTGTCCCCTCCTGGGCCTCAGCAGCAGCAGCAGCAGTAGCAGCAGAAGGCGCAGCAGCAGAAGGTGCAGCAGCAGAAGGTGCAGCAGCCGCAGACGACGAGGAGCAAGTGTTTGCAGCGCAGCAGCAGCAGCAGCAGCTGCAGCACGAACAGGAGCTGCAGCGGTTGCAGGAGCAGCAGCAATTGCAGCTAGAGCTGCAGGAGCAGCTGCTGCACCAGCTGCAGCAGCAGCTGCTGCCTGAGGGTGTTGCTGCTCACTGCCCGCCCCTCACGGCTTTCTCTATTAAACAGCAGCAGCAGCAGCAGCAAGAGCAGCAGCAGCAGCAAGAGCAGCAGCAGCAGCAGTTGAGCATCCAGCAGCAAGCCAAGGAACTAGCGGCTTTACTGCTGAGGCAGCACCAGCAAAAGTATCAACAGGAGCGCCAACGATCGATGCAGCGGCTGCAGCAGCAGCAGCAACTGCAGCAGCAGCAGTTGCTACAGCAGCAACGGTTGCTGCAGCAGCAACAGCAGCGGCAGCAACAACAGCAGGAGGAGCAGCAGCAACTGGTGCTGCAGCAGCACCATCAGCAGCTCATGACGGCCTACGAGCAGCAAACTGGGGCCCCCTTGTGGCGCGTTGGTGCTTCGCGGCCTCCTGGGCTGATTCACAGGGAAGCAGCAGCAGCAGCAGCTGCTGCTGCTGCTGCCGCTGCTGCTGCAGCTGCATTGAGGTCAGCACCAGCCGCAAAAGCTCCAGACGCCGCAGCAACTTCTACTGTAGCAACAGCTGCTGCAGCAACAGCTGCTGCTGGCGGCGGCCATGAGCTTCCTTTCCGCGGCCGAAACTCATGGGGCGCCACACAGCAGCAGCAGCAGCAGCAGCAGCAGCAGCAGCAGTGGAGTGGGTCGGGCCAGAGAAAGACTTGTTCTGTGGCTGCCTCTTCAGCTCTAAATCCTGCTGCTGCTCCTTTTGTTCCTGCTGCACTCAGGGGCCCCCAGGGGCCCCCTATAGTTGGGGGCCCCCAGCTGCTGCCTGACGGGGGCCGCGCAGCCTCCTTGCTGCCTCAGCAGCAGCAGCAGCAGCAGCAGCAAGAGCAGCTGCAGCTGCAGCTACAGCACCAGCTGCAGCGCCTGCAGCAGCTGCATCGCCTGCAGCAGCTGCAGCAGCAGCAGCGGCAGCAGCAGCTTCAGCAGCCGTGGGTTTCCGGGGCCGCGGGAGCCCCGCAGGGCCCCTCCTCGGTGCCCCTGATGACAGCAGCAGCAGCAGCAGCAGCAGCAGCAGCAGCGACGCAGCAGGGCCTCAGCAGCAGCCAACTTCGAGATCTAGAAGGGGGGACAGAACCTCTTGTTTGCTCCCAAGGGTACAGCTACAGTTCTTTGCTGCCGCTGCAGGTGGGGGGCCTCGCCTACTTAGCTGCGACCCTTCGGAGGGACCCCCAAGCTGCTGCGCAGTGAGTAGCGAACGTTTGCTGCAGCAGCTGCTGCAGCAGCAGCAGCAGCAGCAGCTATTTAGCAAGCGGCAGCAGCGGCCTCTGCTGCCGCGCAGCGTCCTTCCTCTGGGGCTAACTTGCCTTCACCGCGGCAGCTAATTCACCAGGAAGTTGAAGCAACTAGAAACGGAAGCAGCAGCAGCAGCAGCAGCAGCAGCAGCAGCAGCAAGCGACGCATGCATTTTTATTCTTCTGGGCGGGGGTCTGTGGGGCTTTTCTGCGCGCTTCTGCTGCTGCTTTTCCAGCCTCGTGCTTGAGAGGCACAAGCATGAGCAGCAGCACAGGCAGCAGCAGCAGCGGCAGCAGCAGCAGCAGCAGCAGCAGCAGCAGCAGTATTGGTTTACGATTATGCTTTTGCGGGCGTCTACAGGTCTACAGCCCGTCTTTTGTGCATTCAAAAAAAGAAAAATAAAAGAATGGAATTATAAAATAAAAATAATTAAATAAAATGATTTTATAAACATGAAAGAGTTGGCTAGCTGCGCGTACACCGCAGCTAGCCATTGCCTGCTGCTGCAGACAAAGGGGCATAGAAGAGCTGCTGCAGCTTCTGCAGCAAAAGAAGTAGGGAAGGCCAGCAGCACTTCAGCTGCTGCTGCAGCCGCTGCTGCTCTTGTTTCTGCAGTTGCAGCCGCTGCTGCTACGGCTTTTGCTGCAGCTGTTGCTGCGGCTGTTGGTGCAGCCGCTGGTGCGGCTGTAGCTGCTGCTATTGACGCTGCTGCTGTTACTGCAGCTGCAGCTGTAGCTGCTGCTTGTGACGCTGGTGCTGCAGCGGAGGCGGCAGCGGCAGCAGCAGCAGCAGCAGCAGCAGCAGCAG